TATTCTACTACGCGACTGCCCCCGACGCACACCATCGCGTCTGCGTTTAACTCACAGAGGCTACGTTCAGACCTGTGAGATACGCCAGGCGTATCTAACGCCAGGCGTACGTTAATCCTTGGTGTAACTAGTGAGATGTCCAGACTGGACGATTAATGAACGCTAGCGTAAGTATTCGCGCGAAATATTCGTATTCGTAAAGGCCAACTCAGACAGCGTCGGCCGACGCAGCCCGACGCGATTTGTTGTCGCGTCGGTCTGTGTGAGTTAAACGCAGACGCGATGGTGTGCGTCGGGGGCAGTCGCGTAGTAGAATATTAAACGTGTTTAATATTTCTCACGACGGCTTAAGACTGTCCCCGACGATAAATCGGGTCGGGCTGCATCGGCCGACGCTGTCTGAGTTGGCCTTAATTCGCGCATTTTATTTTCTGTTTACATCTAGGTTTATTTTGATTGGTCAAATATTGGCTGAGTTCAAAATCACCGATGTGTGACTGTCGTAAATCAGTGGCGTACGCTAATCTGGGGTCTGTTGCTGGATTACCGTACGCCAGTGATTGCGCGATAATACTGGCGTTCGCTACGCCGCGCACAAGTTCACACCACTCGATTAACGTTATGCTAGCGTAAGTCGTTCTGTCTGAACATAGCCACAGACAGACCCGACGCGACAACAAATCGCGTCGGGCTGCGTCGTACGACGCTGTCTGAGTTGGCCTTTATTCGATAGGGGCGCTTATTCAATCGGGGCGTTTATTCGCGCGAGTACGGTAAATAAATAAAACCAGTGAAACAACATTCATTTACAGTATTACAAATTAAAATGCCCTGCTAGGCTAGCCTAATATAATGAAAATGGATCTTGTTATTTAGGATAACAATATATTATTATATTGACACTGATGAAACAATGGAAGTACAACCCTTATGAAGAGATATCCACTATCCATCGTTGCAATTCAACTTACTAGTTCGGGCTAAGCCTACCTAGGCCAAGAACTACGTCCATCTGTTCATGGACTGAGGTCAAGCAAGGAGAAACGTCAGCCTCGCTCAGCATGACCCTCCCTCTGGGAACGGGTCTTGGTCATGGGCCTACGCCATGCTATTGGTCCCGGTTTTTGTCGCATATTAACAGGGAAAGTTTAAAAGAATAAGTTTTCCACTCAGTATTAACTTTTGTATTATATTTGTACTGTACGACTTCATTTCTCTGACGTTTTATTCACCAAAACATCTGTTCGTATCCCTAAAACGAAATCCGCGGCATGAACATAGTCGACGATGTAAACAAAGCCCACTCCAATTATTTCAAGAGGTGAATTTCATGTTTCTATTGAAAGGTATTTATTAATCTTCACATATTATACATTTGTTAAAACAAGAAAGATATGGTAAAATATATTGTAAATGGAAGAAATTTGTTTGTAAATTCGATTATGTCCTACAATTTTACAAGACACAATTTTAACATGAAAGATAACCCCTATGCATTAGTCGAAGAATTTAGATGAAATCTGATCCAATATTTTGAGGGCGATCTTTTACTATCGCAAAGCACAGTGATGAAAAGAGTGAAAAGCCCGTGACTTTTTCATAAAGCCATTTTCTTAATTTTTACCCACTTTAAGCTTTAAAAAAATGTCTGGACCAATTTTTCAAAAAGGGGACCAATTTTATGCATAAAATTACATAATTTGGACCCATTTTATGCATAAACTTACATATTTTGGACCCATTTTATGCATAAAATTACAATAATTTGGACCATTTTTAAAAATGTAGACCCATTCTTGGACCCATTAACAAAATTGTGTGACACTGTCCCAAATTCCCAATAGCTGGCTACGGCATTGTTTATTAGTATTCTTGAGCTCCCACCTGATACACTGAAATCAAAAGAAATTTATTATTAGGCCTATATAATATAATTACTCACCCAGAAACTACTACTACGAAATCCATGATGTTCCAACCATTTCTTAGGTAAGAACCTTGATGTAAAACGAATCCCTGCCCCGTAACTTTGATGACGAATTCAAAGCAGAAAATAACTAGGAAATAGAGTTCTGTGGCTTCCTGCATAATGAAACACACGAAAAATCTGTTAAGTTCTAAGATGTTGCCTGGTTTAACAGCTTATAGATAGGCCTACATAAATTTGAAATTAAAGTTAAAGAATCCATTATACATATTCAGAATCAGAAAACGTTATTATCAAAAGAAGAAATTTTACATCCACGTCACATAATTATTTACATTTTCCGATGTATTTTTCTAAAAAGAAAAAAAAATATGGAGATCGTCTGGAGTGCCGTATCTATATTGTATATATTGTGCGATTAGATCAGGGGTTCTCAACTATATCGCAATAAGGGCCAAAATTGTTCTCTGAATAAATTTGAAAGGCCAAGAGGTGCACTTTGGCGCGTATGCGCCATCCGAGCCCACATGTGCAAACTGGGGGAAGGTTTGGGAAGAGGTGTGTCCCCCTTCCCAAATTAGGCCTATGATTTTTTTTTATTTTTTTTTTTAAATAATAAGCCGCTAGACTCTCATACAGGGCATATTGACCTAGGACAGTTGGCGTGTTTATGATTTCTTTTTCTTTGCCGTTTGCTGCAATAGCTCTTCCGATTTGATTGGTTACATCGCTACAATTTGTGGGGCAATATATAGGCCTGATGCAAAAATTATTAAGGTTAGAAATCCAAGCTCAAGTTTAACGGAACATTTTCGGCTTGTACTCGCAGACCACATAACAGGCACTCGCGGGCCAACTGCCAGTTGAGAACCCCTGGATTAGGCAATGCAATCTGTAGCCTACCGTATATTCAATATCCTAGTTTATATATACAGAGTAAAATGTACACTATATTGTAGCCGCGCTGAATATGCGTCACCGTGTATATACATTTTCCGATCAATGTTTATCGATTTTACTATTCACGTGTTAAGTTCAATTACATTAGAATTACAGAGGAAAGACCGAATTGGCATATTCAAATAAAATTAACTCTATTAGAATTATTATATCGAGTAATGAAGTTGCGAACGTTCATTTTTATCCTGAAACATTGTTGTTAACACAGGCATAGGTTTATGTTAATTGGATGGTGAATTCGTAATTATGTTTCACTTTATTCTCGACTAGTGAAACATTCATTGTGTCGGGGGCCTATCGAATTAAGGGTACTTATGGGATACTTTGCATTGTGGTGAAGACAGTCCGATAGGTTAGTAAATTTGAGAATAGGTTACCATTATGTTTTTCATTAGTTATGTGTTTGTCTTTAACTCGGCATCGTAAGGATGATACGTAAATATTGTACAAAAAAGGGGGGGGGGGCGCTCGAGATTCTTGTGCATTACTCAATGTTTTAAACTATAATATGTTTCCGGGGGTAATCAATAATCCTCGCTAGTGTTCGTCTTAATTATAATTGTTGGCATGTCCATTAATGAGAACATCGTTTTAGAAAGGTGGGATGGGGCGTGGACCAAACCATGCTATAGATTTACGCAGAGCTAGTGTGCTTTTTTAAGTACCATGTATACGCCTATTTCATATTGTTCGAGTGACGACATACTAATAAGAACAAAGTTCATTATTCAAATCCAGAAAGGCAGTTCATTAAGTTGTTCTTCAATTATAATGTTAACATGGAATGGTTGCAGTGAAGTGTATCTTGTTAGATTGTTAGTAGATATTGTTCGAGTCTGCATTAGTGAGTACCCGAACCGTAAGGAGACGTGTCCTTCTGAAGAATTTTGAAATATATGCGCCGACTCCTGTTTTGACATTTACGCAAATACAACCGTTCCTTCTAGATTTGACATTTAAACACACACACTCAGCAGCAAAGCACATGATTTTTTTCTCGCAGCTAATGATAACGGTTTAAAGTTTAAAGTTTAATTTATACTCTCTCCAATGTTTAAAAAAATATCGAAGACGACATCAGAAGAAAACGAGACTTACACTATCCCTGTTTGTAAAAACGAACATACCGGTGGGCTCTTCATCATTGCCATAATAAGAAGTGATGTTGAAATTACAACAAATTAAAAATCATTAATAAGTATAAAGTACAAAACTACGTGAAAAATTGTGTATGCATTTCACAGTAATTTTGTGTTTAACATAGATAGCTGAAACTACTTTGAAACGCTTTAGAAAATGCAAATTGCGTTAACATAACAGTTGAATTACCGTTTGTTAATATTCAAAATAATGTATGAATGAGTTATACTTAATATGCACATCTTTGATATCATAGTCTGTGCTTGTACAAAGTTTGAAGAAGATCCTAGCACGGAAAGTACCCAAAGTGCCGGAAGGGTGGTTGGGGGTTTCTTTCGAGATTGCTTTGCAAAAACATAGGAAAACGGACAGCAGAAGGGAAAAATCAGAAGAGAAAAAAACATATATCAACTTACCAGTTGTATCGCAAGTGGTGTTTTGTCATTTTCTGGAAGATGTGTCTCCAATGCTAATACAACGCAGTTGGCGATAATTGTACACAAGATCAAATATTCAAACGGCGTAGATATTTTAGTTAAGGAATATCAAGAAATGAAATGGTAATTTTCATTGAAAAAATGTAACCTTAACATCAAGTTCAACGACAGGCCTCCATCGATTGCATGCATCTTACATGGTTATAAGAACATACTTGGCTACTGTAGTAGGTATAATTATATAAGCCTCAGCAAGATTTAACATTTCACAATGAAATAAAAACATATATAGGACTATCAGAAATATAAAAAGTTATTAACAGTATCATATTGCATATTGCTAACATATTATAATAAATTACGACAGGATAATAAAATAAAGGCAACCTATAAGAACATGCAGATATGCAATTTATATTTGGGACAGGCTAAATTCACTGTACTTCAAAACAGTTCCTTAAAGCATAACAATATTGATGATAATATATACTGTCTCTTATACACATCTAGATGTGTATAAGAGACAGGGCTTCTACTACAGCATCATTGGTGGTAGCGGTAGGGATTATTTCATCGTCAATTCTGAGACTGGTATAATTCTGACTCAAGGAAATCTAGACTATGAGAGCAGCAACCAAGACTTTGAACTCACTTGTTATAATTCCTATTACAAACATAATAAAATATTATAAACATATTTTTGTTTATTTTATAATGATCAAAACATGCCTCCGACAATCTGTTGGATAGCTAAATAGGCTTACATATTATAGATTATATAACAAAAATTAAGCTTTGGATATAATTTATCACCATAAAAACAATGATAAGACTAAATTGCATTACTTACTAAACTGTGTGTACATTTGTAATATATTATTTATTTGAACAATTTTCATTTCTCCTAATGAATTCATAGCCGGAGTTAGCTTCAACTTTGGCAACCCTAGCTAAAAAGATACACTTTCTCAACTAAACGGATTCTTAAAATGCATGCACGAAATCCTGTTCACCAGACCCCAGCACCGTTGAGGTATATATTAACTGACATTGCATAAATTATAAAACCAAAGTTTTCCTTTCTGTTTGATATTCAATTACTATACAGTGTAACTCTACTCGAAAAAAAGACCATGCTATCTTGATTACAAGCCCATGGGCTTCTTTTCGAGATGGGCTTCTTTTCCAGATTATTTTTGCAAACTAAAGAGGAAGGGTGGTTGGGAGTATCTCTCGAGATTGGCTGCTCGAGATTAAGCCCACTGACTTCGATTCGAGGTTTTATGCTATTTCCCACATGTTATTATAACTATTATATTTTATTATAATCATCAAAACATTATTATTAAAATTAGGCCTATTAGTATTACTATTTTTATTCTTATTATTATTATCATCATCATCGTCATCAACATTATTATTGTCATTTTTTTTATTTTTTTAATGACTATCGTGTGCGCTATAACATACCGGTAAACATATATCAATACCTCTATGTTAGATTTTGTGGAAGTGTCTCTCAGCGCGCGTAATGTACGTTACTGCAATTAACGATGTAAGTGGTCCATTAGCCAGGCGTGGGTAGTAGTCAGTGTACGATGTACACTTCATAAACTTGTTAAAGTGGAATTCCAGAGGGCTCAGTAAATTGTTGTCACGTGATCACGTGGCACAGCAGCCACTTGTTCTACAATGTCTTGTGTAAATAAAATGTGTGTCGTAATTACGTAGTACGTACAATTCTCATCGCTACACAATCGCTTTGATCATACGTATATTGGCAAACGACACTAGATGTTTAATGGGCTATGTATATAAAACAAATTTCATATTATGGTTCTCATCAACCCTATAAATCTGATTAGTAGCGCAAGTATGACTTCAAAATTAAAGTATTTCTTACACTGACTAGGCAACGTTATTATGTCGCGCGCAACGCGGGCTCCCACGTTACAACGACACGTTCATATGTAAATAATTCTACGCAATGCATTACCACCAATCACATTGTGGTACTCAGGATAGTTACATTTTACAACCGGCACATGATAAGAACTTTAATATGCCGAATTAAATGATGAAAGAGGTATTAGTATATAATACACGAATTAAGCTGGTTAGAAGAGATGACGTTTATTAAGGAGGTAATGTACACGAACCAAATTGGGCGTGTCTTTGCAGATAACATGAAGGCCCCATAGAAAATACAGACATACGATAGCAGACGTGAGTAACGAGGAAGACTTGAAGAATTCTTTCGTATCCGTTTCGTTGGCTTATGTTTGAATTATCTATATTACTCCATTATAAAGCTTAGCCATCTACATATAGCAATCTTTATGTGAATGTTTCACAAGTGACAGAGCGACAATTTACGTGAGCAAATCACAGTAAAATCAAATTGTACCACTGAAAGACAGTTTGACATTATGTTAATAACGAAGGACATGAAATAGTCATTTTCCAATGCGCACTTCTAAAAGCACTCTCGCACGTTCATGATTATTTTAGGACATTTTGCTACATGGTTTATTATTGCGCAATGCTAACGTTGGATTGTTACTTTTTACAGAATTCAACTATGTTTATAATAACCAAGACGACCACCGCCTTTGGAAAAAAATACTGCAATTAATTAATTAATTTATTTATTCATTTATTTATTTATGTTAGCCAGGGATAAAATCGTAATATAAACCTAAACTTCAATCTAAATGTCGATCTATTTTTTCGATTTTTTTTTTCTTTCTGGAATATACCGTCTTGAGCTCCAGATATAGCTGACAATCACACTAAGCATCCGTGTAACTTAATGATCAACAAAAACAATTTCACAGCGTTGAAGGATCATGTTACTTAATTTGAAAAGTAGATTCATTTTAATTCGTAAGCAGTATACGATGTAGTTTCTCTGCGTTTACACCCACATAAGAACAGCGTAAGTGTGCTTAGATGAGTCAACAGAATGCATAAACAATTTGTAAACCCTTAGGCATGCTATAGGCATAAAATCTAAATCTATTAAAATGTTGTGAAGCTAGCCCCCTGTGATCACGCTAAAATTAAAATAAACATGGTACATTAATTGTCACTTATTGTGATAAATAATAAAGACAAACCTGAAGGACAGTCTGTGGTCTATCTGGATTCATGTTTGGCTGTGTTTTCTGTAGTGAAAACATGATTAATGAAATCAGGATAAAACTGAGAGTTTTGATGGCGTCCATCGTGTTATTTTTAGACACATAATAAAAAAAAATTCGAATATATTGATGGGCATTCCATGGGAATTACTAGATGACCTTCCTCCAGCACTACGTTACGGTTGGCTCAGTGGTACACCATAAACATCCCGGTACCCCAGCAATTCCTATTCCTACAATATCTTAACTTATTAAAATTAAAGGCTTATGTATTCAAACAGTAAGTCGGTATTTAATATTAAAACATTTGAATACCTAATCGCCATGGTACAACTGGCATTATCTGACCCAAAATAATTAGAAAATTGACACACGCACTCTCGGTACGTTCCATCATGGACCTATTAATAAGATTCCATCAATTCAGAAATAAATTGTATTTATGTAAATGTTTTACCTCACTCACCTTCATATTGAAATACAAAGCATTTTATACGTCTAGACCTATTGTAATATAGCATTATCAGGCCTCCCAGACATGGGACACCATTGATCACGGCAACGGTGACGATGTTGTTGATGATGATAATGATGATGATGATGATGATGATGATGATGATGATGATGATGATGATGATTACGATGATGATGATGACGATGATGATGATGATGACGACGATGATGATAAAGATGATGATGCCGGTGAGGATGATTATCGTAATGGAGGTGATGATAATGATGATGATGATGATGATGATGAAGATGGTGATGATGACAGTGGGGGTAATAAGGATGATGATGTTGACGACGACGACAACGATGATGATGATAATTATTATGATGATATGATGATGATGATGATATGATGATAATGATGATGATGATGACGATGACAAGGATGATGCCAATGACAGCGATGGTAATAATGGTAATGGAGGCGATGATAATGATGATGATGTTGATAAATTACCATAGCCTAATCTAGGCCTATTTTAGCAATCAGTGTTAAGATATGAAAAATACCGAACGTTGAAAATTACATATTAAGTATAAACAAGACATTCTGCTTGTAAATTACACGACGCGTTATCTGCTGGCTAAATTCGTTACCATTCATCGCCTAAAAGCATATCGTTAAGCGTGCATGAATCAATACCGGTAGCTATTGAATATAATTAAGGATGTATGTTTTGCGTTATCATGTTTATGTCAAAGTTGATCAATCCGATATCGACCAGTGGCGTAAAGACTATGCGCTCTCAGGGCCCCCAGTCCCATCGTTACGCCACTGAAATCGACTTATAACAATAACATGCTCTAAAACAAGCGACATTCGTGTATATTTGTCTAAAGTAATGGACCTATATATACGGGGTCTGCCGATATAAACCATATTTTTTTAAAATATGAAATAGTAATATGATATAGTATATGGTCAATAAAGCCGTTGCTAAAGATAAAATACACTAACGATGTTATTTATACCCATTGTTTATGGAGCCCAGTACTGTATTGGCAAAATGAGTAGGCCTACTAGCATTTCCTTGGGTAGCATACAGTACCTAATCGCGCATTGAGCATATACAAACACATTGCCACAACATCCAGGTACCTAATTATTCTCCTGCGGTGGAGAGACACAAAAAGTAAAGTGCCTTGCCCAGGGACACAAGTGGCATGTACAGTAAAAGATTCAACCAACGACCTTTAGTATGTCCGAACCACGAGTGTGTGCGTCAACTTTACCACAAAGTTGTGACTCGACGTGTAAAGTTGAATGCCATAGCTGATGCCTGGGTTCTAGTGTTTAATATAAGATATAGCTCTCCTACTTAAGCCTTGTAATTAGAAAATAATATAAAGCATTTATTACAAACAGAAATTCCACGGTATAGGCCGTGAAATTTACTTTCATGTACATTGTTTGATATTTTAATAAGGG